GGGACGCTCCTGCTCTGTGTGATGCTGCAGCCACACTCACCAGCGGAAAACAGACAGGATTTCCCAAACACAGCTCAGCTCAGCTTGTAACTGGCTGAGAGCAATGGCAACAACTGCAGCCAGACTTGACAAAACTGTTACACTTGCAGTCTCACCCCAAATTAAAACCAGAAGGGTTACCCGGCACTTAAAAGCAGGAAATCCAACATCCAGCCCGAGAGCCTGTCCAGAAAAAGGCCAGCTTTTCCACAATTAATTCCAAGTCATTCTCCCATCCTCCAGCACCCCCTCTCACAGCTCTGTGAACACTGGCTGAGAATGTCACTCCAGAGCTCTGTCAGGCACTCGGGGTATCTCCCTCTGAGTCCCCCCACGTTAATTAATACCACACTGACATTCACTGGCAAGACAAATGGCTAGAAAGACATTAAGTAGCAGCTTTCACTGTCGACTGAGGAAAAGGAGGGCTGGAAAGTCTGCTTGGAGGAGCATCCTAAACAATGAGGAAACCCACTGGGCGCATCCCTGGGTGCCGCAGGGTCGCAGCGCTGTCACTGTGTCCCCTTTGCTGGGCTGTCCCATCTGCCTGGGTGAGGAAAGAGGTGGAAAATAGGGAAGGAAGAAAGAAAAACGGCATTTAAACAAACAAATCAAAAGCCAGTGACTACAGAGCCTCATTCTCTGCACGGCTGTGTTTTTGTTAGGAATGGGTGGATGGGATATGGTCGAGCAGGCTGAGCACCTGCAATAAAAGAACAACCTTCAGAGAAGGTCCCTGTTTTGTACACTGAACTCTTCTGAAGATGCACCTGCTGAAATGACTGGCGTTGGGTGCTTGAAATCTCTCCACTTCTCCAAATTTAAAAAAGATTTGTTCCCAACACACCCCACGTGACAGGGCAGAGCTGGGTCCCCCCACTACTGCTGCTGACGTTGCAGAAATGGAAGATTATCAGCATTTTAGGGCATTTCCACCTTCTGCCTGCTGTCAGATCCACTTCCTTGATGGTTCCTTTTCTAATATTAGAGAACCAAAGCAAAAAATTGTTCCATCAGCAGTGTTGAAACCTCCAGCACAGTCTCTCAGAGCACACCAAGCTGCTTTAACAGGCACTTCCACCTTACCCCCCCCCCATTTCACGAGCGCACCCCGAGTCTGTAACAACCTTCTCCCACCCTGGACCACTCCCTGTTGGGTGTAGCACTTATTAGGCATCACTGGGTGCCTAATTCACCCAAGGAACACCTCCCATCATATGCTCAGCCCATGCCTCATCAAACTGAAAGCAGGAATTTTTATAACAAACTCTTCACATGACCAGCTCCCGGTCTCCTAATTATTCCTGCCATGTTTTAAACTCCAGTTCACTCATATCCTGAATAATCCTCGTGCTGCCCCCCAAAACCACCCCAAAGAAGGATTATCTCTGCCAGAAGCCCTTGTTTTCAAGACCTCAGTCCAAAAGCCTAAAAGAATTACTATAAAATTTTCATTTCAGAGGGCTTTAAATCATTTTACTGCTTACAGTGTGTGTACACTTAAAATATCTTTTGGATCTTAAATAAATGGGAAAACCCCCTATTTTTTTCCAGAGGTATGGTTAGAAAAACAGGCTCGTGCTGCCCAGCACGGGAGACACCTTTGAAACTAAGGTTTTCAGGACTAGTAATGCTGCAGTGCATGTGGTCTGGCTTTCTGCCCCACTCCTCCTCGCTGGCACTACGTGGCCTCCCACTCTCCCCTAAATATCCTCCACCCACCTTCTCCCCCGTGGACACAAACTGTCCCCAGCGCTCACAGGAGTCCCTGCTGACTCATTTTTCCACTACTGTGCTGTGACAGTCATTTCCTTCAGGTAGGAGTAACGAATACCAAGGGCTGACGTTTTATTCACAATTTCATCCCACAACAGTGCCCGATTTTCACTCATGTCTGCCCAAGAAAGACAAAATATGCTGCGATGGCTTGCAAAGTGAGATATAAATATACATAGTTTCTTAATTTTCTGGCCATAAAAACCTTTCTGCGAAGCATTTCCGAGCCCAAATAAGTCTTTTGGTAGTTGATTCAGACTTGCCATTCCAAGCACAGCCTCACACGTGTCACCCTGCAAAGACCACTTGAAAAAAAATATCACACACTGGCATCATTTATTCTCTTGTCAGGCACTATTTGCTGCAGAAAACACACATCATTATATTTGCTGACTTTCAGCTCATGACACTACCCAAGATATTGCCCCAGCTCTCAGTGCTTCGCAGTTTGGCTGGTTCAGTCCCACCATTTCTTCCTGAAGAGCACAGAAGTGGAAGGTAGTTTTAGGTGGAAATCACAGCCTCTGGTTTCGGTAACAGAGACGCCGCGTAGGAGGCCTCCCTGATTTTCCCTGGGATTCATTTCTCCGACTGGTCTGACAAGGCTCCAACTTTACTCACCCACAGGGCAACCAGCAGCCAGCAAAGCATCTCCCTGGGGGTGCCCCTGCTGAGGGCCAGGCTCCTGATGGCTTACACAGACACCTATTTGAATGGCTTTCCATATTTTAACATCATTTTGCACATCACATGATTTCTGTCCTCCTTTGGTTCTCCTCTCATCTCTCAAAGACTCCTGCAGCTTAGAAAACTTGTAGAACTGTACTGTGTCACAGAATAATGGAATCAGGGAATATCCTGAGTTGGAAGAGACCCCACAAGGATCATCGAGTCCAGCTCATGGCCCTGCATGGGACACCCACCCCTTTAACCCTCAGCCCCTCATTTCCATTCATTACAGTGTGTCTTAGCTTAAATGTTGTCTAAATGAGCCACCAGGCTTTACAACACATTTCATTTCAGGCAAAATAAATTACCATCGGAGCAACAAGAAATTCAATTACGCCATCATGACGACAAACATGGGCTAGACCAAACTCTCACTTGAAGCAACACTCAGGATTTCCTGTCTTGAGGCTGCTGATATTTTGGGCCAGTCTGAGCAAGCATCCCAAAATGCACGAAGTCTGGAGATTGTTGCTGGCTGCTGTCTCTAAGGAGAGTGTGTGAGGCACATCCTCGGGCTTGTTGTCTCACAGTCCCCCTCCTGAGCACTATGGAATGCCAGTTCTGCTGACAAAAAGCAGGTCTCTCCCTTCCCTTTTTACTGAGGACACCCCTGCATCATCCAAAGGGAGCAGAAGAACCCCAAAAAAGCTCCCAGCCCACCAGAAAGACACACCTAAGCTTTACAAAGCCAGCAAAAAAATTGTGCTGCTTATTCAACCTCCAGCCTTAGTGCTTCAGCCTGCTTCCTGCTGCACCAAGGGGAGCTCACCCCAGCTCACCCTGCAAAAACATCACACCAAAGAGTGCCACACAGACCAGCAAGGCCTGAGTCTCACAGACTCCAGCATCAGCATCAGCAGTAGGTTTGGTGAGCTGGCTGCATTGCACTCTGTTTCGATTTAAGATGCTCTTCCTGATCCCTTTTCCTGCTTGGAGGTGCTAATTCACAGACAGTCTCTGTACAAAGTGCCTCATTAATTATTTTTCCAAGCGGGAGCTCAGAGTGGGGGATCCTCACTTACAGTGAGCAAAGCAGACATGCCAGGGGATGAGCACAGTGCTTTAATTTCCTTTTTTTTTTTTTTTTTTTCCCCCCCCACAGTGATTTGGCTTTATCTCCTGCCTGGGCAGAGATGTGACAACTCACACCTCGGGGAGGGACCAGAAACGTGAAATGCTGAACTATGGAAATGCAATTTTGGGACTTAAAACCACACTCAATCTGGCAGGAAAAAAAAAGACAATACTGAGAGGGCACCATAGAAAAATCTCTGCATGTGAGGCCGGTAGCTTTGCTGACTGCTCTTTGGGTGGAAACCATTTAATAACTGGACACCTTTCCCACTACGGGAATCTCCTGAAAGACCCACTGTGATTTCAAAAGAGTCCTGACAGAGGAGCAGTTCAACATTTGCACTCCCTCTAGACCACAAAAAAAATCCCGGAGCAACAGATTCCAAGGACAAGCTGGGCTGTGGGCACCACCCAGGAGTCACCCTCCGGCCTGAATCCACGGAGTTTGATCTCCCAGTCCACAACAGAGAGGACTCTGCAGGCTCCACATGCATAAAACATGAAGCGCTGGAACTGGGCTTCCTTTTCTCATGCAAACTTTTACTTCACTTGTAAATCTCCAGCCTTAAAATTTGCTTTGTAAATACTCTGCCTGCTGCCTTGCCGATAAGCAGCACAACAGGTAGACAGACAGGCAAGAGTAAGATGTATTTCCCATTCAACTAGTCAAGCAACAAAAATACCCCCTAAAATACGGATTTACGCTCTTTGCCTTCATAGTTTAGTGGCCATAAGCATAATTCAAAGTGGGGTTTTTGTTTGTTTTCTCTTTCCTAACATTTTAATGGGATAAAGGAATGCCCTTACACAATCTGAACAGTTTACCTAAACACTCACCTACAGCCTTCCCACTGCCCCGAGCGAGCTTGGCAAAACTTCAGGCCATATGAATCACAGAATTCCAGAACATGCTGAGCTGGAAGGGGCCCGCAAGGATCACGGAGTCCAACTCTTAGCCCTGCACGGGGCACCCCGAGAGTCACACCACGATCGCCTGAGAGCGAATGGTCGGCATCTCATTTACCCCGGCAAGCTCTGCTGCCGTGGGAGCTGCCGGTGCCGGGGGATCGGGATCTGATTTACCCTGGCAGACCCTGCTGCCGTGGGAGCTGCCGGTGCCGGGGGATCGGGATCTACTGTCACACGGGCAGATGGAGCCGCACCGCCCGCACGCTCCCTAAAGTTTTCACCGTCCACTTGCACTCCCTCAGCGGGGTTTTTTTGCTGAAAGAAGCTCTCCAAACGCCACCGGACCCTGGGAGCCAGCGCAAACCCCGCGGTGCCCGGAGCCCGCCCGGCGCGGAGGATGCGCGGGGGATGCCCGGGAGCGCTCCCTCCGGCATTCCCGGTGCCCCGCAATCCCTTCCGAGCCCCCACTGTACCTCGGATGTAGGTGCACTTGCTGTCGTCCAGCGGCGCGGAGGCAGAGCCGCCCATGGTGCGGGAGCGGTGCGGGAGCAGCGGCGGCCCCGCAGAGCCCGCCCGGCCCGGCCCGGCCCGGCCTGGCCCGGCCCGCACCGCCCCCTGTGCCGGCACCGCCCCCCGCCCCGCCCGGCCCGGGCTGCTCCTGCCGCTGCCGGGGACATCGGCCCCACGGCCCTCTGCCTGCCGACACGCGTGTTTTCCTCTTCCCGCCGGCACTTTGTCACCCCCACCGCGAAATCCACGTCCCACTGGAGACACACGTGGACCCTGTAGAGTTTCCTTATAGAGGCCACTTTGAACTCCGTGGCACGCTTAAGTTGTCACAATGCTGGGTTGCCCAGAGAAGCTGTGGCTGCCCCTGGATCCCTGGAAGTGTCCCAGGCCAGGTTGGACGGGGCTTGGAGCAACCTGGGCTGGTGGAAGGTGTCCCTGCCCAGGGCAGGGGATGGAATGAGATGGTCCTTTTGGTCCTTTCCAGCCCAAACTGTTCCACGACTCATGACTCAGGCACTAAAAAATACACATTAGTAAACATCAGTAAATACTGCCCAGTGATTGAGCCGGCTTCCCAAAACGTGCAAGAGCACCAGTGTTGCAGATCCTCACTCAGGGCAGCAAGGAACAGATACCCGAGTTTCCTGGCCCCTGAATAATAATTTCAGTGGTGCTTTGGACCAGCTGTGACTTTTTAAGGTATAATCTTCCGTTCTGCTGTTCCTGTAGTGCTAAACCAACGATGGGCGGGGTGCCGTGGACATTGTGCCTCGTGTGTTTTGCGTGGAGTTGATGAGCTGCAATGATTATGGATGGTGATGACACACTGGAGCCTCGCAGTGATGGGAAACTTTTTAAACCAACATTAAACTTGCTCAGGTTTGCAGTACTGAAGATGCTTTGTAACCTCATGTTCAGTGTTCAGCTAAAGACTCTCCTTCCACCATCGTTATGTTATGTCGAAGAGTAGTGGAGCAATTAAGCAATTGCCTAATTACCTTGAGGAGACCAGGCTCACCCAGAGCACCCCTGAAACAGCGTCTCACAAGTCTATAGATCTCTCAGCTGAGATACAACGCTCAATCCACAGCACCTGTAGAGATCACACGAGAATCGGGCTCTGTTGTGGATATATTTAATCGGCTCTGCCCGAGAGCCCGCAGAGGGGGCTGTAGTGGTTTCCTCACGGTGCACATGTGAGCAGACACAGAGGAGGAAACACTCTTTACTGTTATGCTTTTTAAAGGTGTTAACTCAGAGGAGAATCCAGGCTCTGCTCAGAGTAGCTGTTATCTTCTATCAAAAGTGGCTGAGAAGCTTTTCAGAACGCACGGTCACATGGAATATGCAAGTCAAGCTCCAGGAGTCCGGAGAGATAAACAGTGGAAAATTCATGAGCCATGAACTGGATTGGTATCCAGTCTTGTCATTTAGCAGATGAAAATATGCCAAATCCCAGAAGCTCTATAGCCAAGAACAGATGTTGGTGTGTGCACTGAGTGGGAAACCTCCCTGTCTAATTACAGCTGGGGTAAAAACAAAGGGAGAACTGAAGAGTTCACTTGATTATAATTTTCTATTCTTGGTACTACCTGATCCCCAAGAACCCCAAGCATCTCACAAACATCAGCTAATTAAAGGCTGTAATTTCCCTTTCAAGATAGGGAAATGCTGTGTTTTAATGGCAAAGCTTGTGCCCGAAGCATCTTAAAAAGATACCATGAGAAACATGAACCAAGTCACGAACAGGTAGAAATGATCCTGTTTCTATCCTGCTTAAAAACAAAACCATCCTCTCTAGTATAAGAAATCCATGCTAGATTTTAGGATGATGTAACACCTGCACTGAAGCTATCAATGATAAAGGAATAAAATTTAAAAAACCCACAAACCACCAGAACCAAGAAAAATCCTTCCCCACATCTTCTCTTATGAAATTCTGATCTTTGAGGCTGAAATATGTTCTGAATCCTTTCTATCTAAGTAACACAAAAATGTTATCCTTAAGAGTTATTTCCGAAAGGTTGGAAGGAGGTCTTAAAATCGAGCTGCAGAAAATACTCCTAGAGAATCACAGCTGTTCAGGCTGGAGACCCAAAAATGACATTTTGATAAAATAGCCCTAAAAAGGAAGTTAGAGTTCGTTGTGCTTTAGCTACTGCCCTAGTTCTGAGGGACTGGCAAGAAGCACTGAAACCCCATGAACAGGAGAGTGGAATTTAACAGGCTCTTAATCACAGAATCAGGTTGGAAGGGACCTCAAAAGATCACCTGATCCAACCTCTCATGGGAGAGGGAGTCTAATGAGATTATCTAACACCTCGTGCCATTGCATCCTGAGAACTTTCAGCAGCAGAGACTCCACCACACCCCTGGGGAGGCTGTTCCAGTGAATGATTGTTCTTGCTATAAAAAATACTCTCCCTACATCCAGATGAAATGAAAGGTATGGTGGGGTGGGGAGACAGTATATGAAGTGCTGCTTCATATATGAACTGAATGTCCTAGGGAAGAGACAAAGATGGCATTTGTGGTCACTTATTAAAGAAAGAAATCAGATAAAACCTCTTATTTTTGTAACTGCAGAAAGTATTGATGACAGCCTGAACTGCTCACGAAGGAAGAAAAGCAAGGCAAAGGTACATTGCAATAGGAGATGCTGGTAAAATGATATAATTTTATCTCTATCTTTAAAAGGTTTTAAAAAATCAAAATACAATCAGGATGCTGAGCGCACAAGCTAATGCAGGAGGAGGCTTTGCTGGCTGCCTTCCTCACTCCTTGTTTTCTTCCCAATTATATTTTATTGTCGTTCGACACGTAAACAACATTCACTTGAATACTCATTGAATTCCAGTGCTCATAAAATACCAAACTGTAAGTAACATTCATCATTCTGCCCTGCCTGGTTGCAAATCATTTATATAGATGTCTGGGTTTTTCCCAGAATTGAATCTGATACATAATCTGAGGCACTTCCCTGCAATAAAGAGTTCTCATAATGCATTAATGGTGACATGGCAAAGCTCAGTAGATCTCCTCATTGCATTGTATGTGTTTATATACATATAAATATATATTTATATACAATTATCCCACAGCAAGGCTCAGCCAGGCATTAGCCTTGCTACAAGTCTAGAATTTCCATCCTCAATATCCAAACAGGACACATCTTGTCCCTAAAAAACAACAAAACAACAACAACAACAACAAAACAAACCAAAAAAACAACTTTTTGAGTGGAAAGGTTGAGAACTTGAGGTAAAAACTCCCTTTTCTTCCTTGCCAAAGGGCGAGGTGAGGTCATGAAAGCTTCCCTGTAATGAGGATCAGAAGCTTCTCTCTCTATTGACACCTGAGATTAAAGACACCAGGTAAGCATAAGAATGCTGCTTACCCAGAATTCCTCCTCAGAAATTAGGAGAACAGCACACTGCAGTGGTAAACTCTGGAGAGGAGCTCTGCTCTTTTCTTTCCTATCCATAAGTGTGTCTTAGGTTCCCAGTTCACATGGAGTGCAACCAAACCCTTGGAAGTCTATTTTGAGCGAGTTATAATGTTTATAATCAAACACACAAGCTGTTAGTACTTAGGCCATATTACCAGGTTGCACATCAGGGCTGCTTTTAAAACAGATTCTAAAACTTATTTATTACAAATAAACAGATTGATGCAAGTGGCTGTTGAGAAGGGAAAGAGCTCTGCACACCTTGAGTGCTTAAGCAAAAAAAGTCCTCTGAAACCAGTAACTCCATGAGAACAAGAGACTTTGCCTTAACTTTGAAATCATGATCTTCAAGCCCTGTGGTGAAAAGTTCCCCTGGACTTCTCCCCTCTCTGGTTTTCCTGCAGGAATGTTGTTGGCCCTGTCACCTGCACAGTGTCAGGACCCTGAGGAGAACAGTTTGCTCCTTTGATGTCAATCTCGTGGCTCTTTGAAGCTGGAGTCTCCTTTTGGAAGGCTGGAGGGGCAATGCTGGATCTGGAAGAACAGGAAAGAAGAGTTGTAGCGAACCCCAACACCAGTGGGAATCAGCAAAGGGGGAAACTCTGGTTGTTAGGACATGCACTTGGGACAGGAATGAAAATCCTGACTAGGGATGCAAAAATCAGGAACTTTCAGATGCGGTTCTGGATTTTATTTCCTGTAAAGTGAGGCATCCTAGAGCTGAGAATCACCTCCAGCTGTTGCCTATTCCATCTGCCTGTCCCAGTGGCCAAGAAATTACACGGGTTTGTATATATGCAAATTGAGATGAAATACGTGTTGAACTTTTCTTGTTTACTAAATGCTCCAGCCATATTCGGTAAATTCAAAGGCCGTTGCCTTCTCTGCCGAGTCACTAGTTATGAAATGTGGGAAGTGGCACAGCTGGAGGTGCCAGTTCCTGCTCAGCTGCCATTAGAGGCTGTATTTTAATTAGTTAGGACACTCATGTCAAAGCAGCCAATGCACAGGCTTTTACAAATTCACTGCGAAGAGCCCTCAAACACGACACACTGATTTGTTCCCTCGGGCAGAAACCGGGGTGGTGCACAGGAACCAGCGAATAAAGCACAGCTCAGGGCCATTCCCACCGCCCGGTTCTCACACCAGAGCAAACCAGAAGCACAGCTCAACCTATTGATCCCAGCAGAAAACCCAGGAGGAAAAATCCATCTGCAGGAGATTCTTTACTGCTTCAAATAGGCAGGCACACCTGCAGGGGAAGACAAAAACCTTCCCAAGTGCTGGAAATGAGTTTATGGGGTGGGATTTGCAGCCTGGTAACAGAGGAAGGCTGAGACATCACGCTGTCACTGAACAGACTTCAGTGCAGCAAGAAAGCAAATTTAGCAATTAGACCTGTCATTTTCCCTTCTTAACTAAGGAAATCACAGCGACTCTTCTTAGAGAAGTAAGAAATCCTCCTTCAGTTTGATTAACAAAGACGTGACCGAAACTTTCCTCCCCAGTGAGCTGATGTTCCTGCGTTATTCACCACCCTTGCAGAGGGACAGCAGGCACGGGCTGCAGAAGCTGAGTGATCCTGCAGACACGATTAACGAAGGGGAGGACTAAATCCCCGCCACATCTGGATTTGCTTCTTCTGGCCACAGATGGTTTGGGTTGCTTTTTTATTCCGAGGATATTCATTAAGGCTAAGCACGGGGTTTAAACACAGCCTTCCTGTTCCAAGGCTCCATTTTTCCGTGGAGAAGTTTCTCCTTCGTCAGGAGCCTGTCCAAGAAGGCATATGTAGCAAATGTAATGGGATTTACTGAGCCATCTTGCACGCTGAACGAGCTGCAAGAGTTCAAAAGGAGATGCACGAAGGAAAGCCGAGGAGTTTGGATTTTTGACGTATTTTCCCCTCTCTGAAGTGACTGTCTTGTCTGCTTTCATTTTCCTTCCGGATAATTTTATAAAAAACCTTAGCACTCCCAGGGTTTGAGCTCCCTGTAAACGGATCCCAAAATGTTCACAAGTTTTTCTGTTCGTTAAGTTTGGCTGTTGAGAACGTTTAAGTCCATCCATCCGAGCCCGGCCTCTGGCACGGGGAAAGCCGCTCAGCAGAGGACGTGATGTGCTAATCTGTCAGCGGGGCGAGGTACCTGCTGATCCCGTAATCCTGTTAGCATCCTGCTCCCCTCTCCACATCAGCTGCACTCACACAAGAATTTGCCCGGACAAAAGAAGGCCGTCACCTCCTGGGCAGCACCAGCACGTCCAGGCAGCAAGAATCTTACCAATTAACAGCCAGTGTGATTGTTTGGGTGATAACATCTGGGCACGGGGTTTCTCACCGTCCTTTAGGACAAACAAATTAACTGGTGTATTATGACTTCTGCACCGATTTTCTCATCCTTGCTGCTCTGTTTACTAACGTGGATAATGATAATCTGCTTTTTTTTCAGCGCGTTACCTGGTTGGGGTTCTCTTCTGCCTCTTTAAATATCCCACAGAAGAAAGAGCAGTGGCCTTGTTTATAAAATAGTGATCTACTTAGAACTGATAAACTTTCTCGAATCGCTAGTAATTCTGTTTTCTTTTCAAAGCAATTTAGGTGTTTATTTGGCTTTTATAGGAAAGCATGATACCTATTTTAAAAACTGCTTGATTTCTGGCAGATCCACCGCTGCAAGCCCAGCTGTTTTGCTGTGCGGTACTGAGCACACTGGCCTGTTTACCACATTAAAAGAGCCCTCAAAAAAGATGGTGTTATTGCTTTTTTTGATGTTGTTTAGCAGAGACCTGTATTCTCCTGGTTACCTGTGCGGTTCAGCTTTGCCAGATTGGTTTTGACCACAGTCGGTTGCACGAATGTCTGTAAGTGAAATGCAACTATTGCTTTTCCTTCCTTTTCTATTCCATAAAAAAGTTAGTATTTCCGTAGGCACTGGAATCCTCATTTGCCTGACAGGAGAGAAAATAACGACGTTCTTCTGTTATCCCAACTTTGAAACATAATGATTAGAAGCATTATGATTGATCACAGGAAAACCCAGTTTGGAAGGGGCTCCTGGAGACCATCTGCTCCAAACTTCTGCTGGAAGCAGGGCCACTGAGCCAGGCTGGCCAGGGCTCTGTCAAGCCAAGCCTTGAATATTTCCAGTGAGGGGAAATTTTACCACTTCCCTGGCAACTTAGTCCACTGTTTAATTGTTCTCGCAGTGTTTTTTTTTTTTTTTTTTTTTTTTTTTTTTTTTTTTTTTTTTTTTTTTTTTTTTTTTTCTTTTTTTCTTTTCTTTTTTTTTTATTTGAACCCAGACAGAACTTCTGCTTGAGGCGAGTTGTTTGTGTGAGCCTTAACGTGTTTTCCCCGATGTGTTTAGATGCACATATTAGCTCTTGCCCATCTGAAGAACCAACAGAAGAACCAGCAGTGGCCTTGTTTTGTTTCTGCTGTCACACTGGGTGTTTCTTTGCACAGAAAGAAAATACTGCCTAGAACTGGGGGGCTGCCAGTGCTCTGTCATTCCCAGAGAATGCAGGAACACAGAAGTGGGCAGCAGGCTGAAATCATAACCCATATGACCTATAACAGCCCATTTTAAAATAAGGGTTTTTTTGAGGAGTGTGTCTGTATAATATAATTGAGCTGTGAAGGTCCCAGCCCCTGGACTCTCATTCTGAGCACACACATCCCCGCTGAGGACTGCAAGCAGTGTGTGCAAACCAAACCTTGCAGTCCTGCCAAAAAAAATTACCTGTTACTTGGCAAGCTGCCCAGAATTAAAATCTTGCAAAATTTTAATCTCTGCTATTTCTGTAGCTATTTAAAACCCTGCCAATAAAATGAAGGGGGGAAAAAAAAAAAAAGAGAGATGATAAAAATGTTTAGATTGTGGGCTAAACACACATAATGGTCTGGCTGCAGTTCCCTTCTCCTTCCCCAAGTATTTGAAAGAATAACAAGAGGAAATTCTAAAAAGAACCAGCAATCTAAACAAAGGTGGTGAGGTCAAACTCTCTCTTGCTCCTCCTTCCTTCTCTTTATCGCTGGTGGCCACTTGGCTGCTGGTCTCAGCTCAAGGCACTGCTTGCATTGTTAGGCCATGGAAAAAAAACCCACAATAAACCACAAAAAAGGTCTGGGGGGAGGGCTCAGCGGTAGCTTGAGCTGTTCCAGAGTTTCACCTTGAGCAAAGTGAAAATGCTCTGAAAACAAGGAAAAACAAACCAGAAAACAAGGAAAAATAAACCAAAGTTCGTGTAGAGTCCTAGAATCCCAGAACAGTTTGGACTGGGAGAGACCTTAAAGCTCATCTCATCCCCAACCCAAGCTGTAACCTCGGGGTGTGTTGCCTCATTCCATATTCCGGGAATGCAGGCAGCCAGCACTCACTGGATCAATGGAGAGTCTTTGTAGGGGAATTTTCCAGTTCAACAAGGGACTGGTTCACTGTAGGGACTGGTATCCAGGGCTGTAACTGAGGTGCTGGTGCGACACAAGAAAAATAAAGGACGCTGAACAATTCCTACCGAGTTTGCTCTCGCACATCTACTTACAGAGGGGTGACAAAGACTGTGCTCCCGACTGACCAGAGGCTGGAGATGCTGACATGGGTGACAGGAATGAGATTTTTCAGTCCACGTTCATATACCCTGCCTGTTGGCCGTGAACGTGGAACGCACCAGCCACCAAAACCACGGGTGCTCAGTCACCCACCCGAACTCTCTGAGGTTATGCAAAACATAACCTCAGCCAAAACTTTCAAGTGGCTGTTCTCTTCCTTTTTTTATTGAGTCGTTTCTTACCAGAAGTGACTTCTTGTTGTCTGGCGCCCTCTCCTGCACATTCGCTTGCGTAGGAAGCTCTGGTGACGGAGAACCCCCTCATTCTCCTCCTCCGGTGAAATCTTTCCGTTCAAAAGTCCCTCCTGCCCCAGCAGACCTCCAGGTTTTTCAGATCCCCAAGTTGTGACCGCTCATTACACTCCAGGGGGCTCCCAGGCAATCTCAGTTTAGCTAATGAAGAGTTACCAGGCAATTAGTTTTCTTTACAATTCAGAGTCATCCCAAGCGTCCTTGACTTAGAATCACAGAATCCCAGCACGGTTTGGTTGGAAGGGGCATTAAAACTCACCTTTTTCTACCCCCTGCCCTGGGCAGGGACACCTTCCACCAGCCCGGGTTGCTCCAAGTCCCGTCCAACCTGGCCTGGGACACTTCCAGGGATCCAGGGGCAGCCACAGCTTCTCTGGGCAACCTGTGCCCCACTCTCACAGGGAAGAATTTCTTCCCAATATCCCATCTAGCCCTGCCCTGCAGCAGTGGGAAGCCATTCCCCCTCGTCCTGCCCTCCAGGCCCTTGTCCCCAGTCCCTCTCCAGCTTTCCTGGAGCCCCTTTAGGCATTGGAAGGGGCTCTCAGGTCTCTTTTTCAGGTGAACTCCCCCAGCTCTCCCAGCCTTTCCTCACAGGAGAGGTGCTCCATCCCTCTGATCATCTCCATGGCCCCATCACACCACCTTCAGCCTTCTTGCTACTCCCTGTAGTGAGGGGGCAATAACTTCGTGCCAGGGATGTCCCTGCCCTGACAGAGGCAACAAAAAGCTGCCAGATTTGGTGTCTCTGCTCCAGCTGGGAATGTCTTGCACAGAAGGCCCATTGTATCTGCAGCACAGGGAGTTCAGAGAGGGGTGACTTGACCCTCTGCCTCTGCCAGCAGATGCTCAGCTCCTCCACTCCAGGTTGTCACAGTCTCCAACAGCAGCTCTGAGACTGAATGTTTGCTCCAGGGATGTGTTCTCTTGCCCTGGTGTGAGAATTAACCCCCCACCTTTATTTGGAAATAAAAATCTATGGTCCCAACTCCCACCAAAGACAGGGCACAAACCCTGAGGAGTTTAGGAATTCCTAGAAGAGGAAGCTCTAAGGGGCTTGCACTTAATCCCCACGTTTCTACATCCTCCTCTCACGGGCTGATTGCCAAACCACTTTCTCTCCTGTTTCCTTCCTCCTCGTTGGCTTTTTTACACTCCGTCAGGCAGTTCACACTGCTTCCTCATCCCCCCTCAGTCTTCCAAGACTTCTCTTCGTCATATTTTCCTGGTTTATCATCAAAAAGCTGCCAGAAACCAAGAAGAGAAATTATGTCTTTGACAACACCACAGGGGATGGTCTGACTTTTGGCCAGTGCTCTGCTGCAACGTTTCTGGTATTTGATCTATATGTTTTAGAAGGCTTTTTGCTTGTATGTTGGGGGTGGGAAGTAGATGCCTGCTCTCAGTAAAAACTCATAGATACTGGCTGTTCATTTTCTGTAGATGCCTTGGAAAAATCCTTCTGGACAGGGTGGCCTGTTTGACTATCCTCTGATCAATGGCTACACAAATACCACAGTAAACTATCAAAAATACATTAAAAATTTGGTTTCAGCTGCCTTGTGGAAACATCTGTGGACTCTCTTCGTCCCAGAACTCCGTGTCACTGATTTCTTTTTGAACAGACTGTTTTCTCTGTAACTGTTCCTGCTGGAGGTTTAAGTGTTCAAGACCAGGACACGTGCTAAGCCTGGAGGTTTGTGAAACCTCTTCCTCCACTCGTGCTGTGGGTTTAGGTCCCCCCTCCCCACGCACACCAACCCACTAGACTTCTGCAAAACAAAGGCAGATGGCTCATGAAAAAAATAAAAAAAAAAAGACATCAACTTTCTTCCACTTGCCTCTGCTAATGTTAAGGTGTTTTGGAATCTCAAGCTTTGACCTTTGGGAAAATGAAGTTTTCAAAGTTCCTATTTGTTTGTTTGTTTGTTTGTTTGATTTTTTGGGGGTTTGATTGTTTGTTCTGGTGGTTTTGTTTGTGTTTTTGTTTTTTGTTGTTGGTTTTTTTTTAAGTGGGGATGATTTATACACCTTAATCGTGTAGACACTACAGAATCAGTACCTGAAGAGAATCACTACGTTCTATTTCCTTCCTTCTCAATTTCTTTATTCCCCGGAAGTGTCCAAGGCCAGCTTGGATGGGGCTTGGAGCACCCTGGGATAGTGGAAGAGGGTGGGACTGGATGGGCTTTAAGATCCCTCGCAACCCAAACTTTCTGTGATTCTACGAGCAGAGCTGTTCTTGCCAATTCAGAGATATGTAAGAACACAGAGAGCAACTCAGAATACCTAAAGCAGGTGCTTAGAGTAGAGAGTGTGGAAAAAAATCCCCAGCTTAATGTTATGAGTACAAAAAACCCCCTTCTTTGCTCATTGCTCACCCCTGAGCATCCTCCTGCTCCGCATTCCTTGCACTGCCTGTCCTTTCCAGTCACAGTTCTTCAGGGCTCCTAATTTTTATTGTCACTGTGTTGCCACTGTGATGTTAATTAGATTAACCCAGACTCCCACGGAGGCAGTAACAATGATAAACATCGTAGTGATCTGTCAGCGTTCCCTGAAACCCCTTTCCCTGGCTTTGGAAATGTGCTGCCCCCACAGCCCACACCTCTGCGTGATGTAAAAGATCTGCCTGGGTCACATGCACTGCAATAATCAACACAGAAAAGTGAATTTCTAATGACTGGAAACCTCAGGCACATTATCAATCTTTCCAATCAACCACCACGAAGAGGGTCATGGAACCAGAATAATTTCAAATGTATTAATACTGTTGGTTTTAACTATACAGTATTTTGGGGATAGAAGCCCTGTCAGAAATCTTAACTCTCTGTACATTAATATTAATCATTTTCTTTATCTAGGAAGATTGACTTGTTCCATTTTTCCCTCTTTGCCTTGAATAGGTGGTAGCTTTTCCACTGCTTGTTCTAAAAATTCTGGCAACTTTTAACACAGACCCCCAGTTCTGTGGGCTTTCACTTGCAGGGGTTAAATTCTAAATCCATGTTCTGCCAGATTTCATCTGTGGGAAAAAAGGACAATGCAAGAGTGAGTGCTGACCTGCCCTTCTTGTCTTAATGTCCAGAGCAACAATGTTCAGCAACGAGGCACTGCTCCTTCCAGACCAAGTGAGAATTAGAGGGGGACTTCAGCAACTCAGGTTCTTTCCAAGCCATTTAGAAACCATCATAACAAATAATTATTTACTTCTCCCTACCCCTGTGCCTCATTTCACTGAATCCAAAACCGTTTAGGTCTCCTTTATGCAGTGAGTGTGGACACCTGCAGTGTCCATAAGCCTGTATTACACATCTCCTTTCTCCTCTTACTGCGAATTCAAAGCAGATGTGTGAGGCTGGAGAGGACAGGGGGAGGCCAAATTTCTCCAGACTGTGTTTTTCCTGCTATTTGGAGGGCAAAAAAATGTTGCCAAATAGCAGAACCACAGACTCAAAAAAAAAAAAGCAAGTAGTGACACACAGCCAAGATCTCACCTTTCCATCCCTTGGCCTGAAGAAAGCAAAAAGAGAGTGGAAGGGGAACCCAAAAGGAGAAATTATTTCTTCTCTAGACCTCTACCCTGATCTAATGCCTGTCCCCAGCACCTACCAAAGTCCACTGCAGATCCCTAATTCATGAGGCTGTTTAGAAGATTATCTGACAGCTGTGTTCTGAAGAAGGGCAAGAGCTGCTTTGGGGAGTCACAAGTGGATTCGGAATGAGAGCCCAATTGGCAAATAAATATTTCTCATCATTACTCGAGGTCACTGCTTAAGTGAAAATAATGGAAAAAGCAGATGAGTCACAAGCAAACCTCACTGAGTTCTATGTGAAACACTCAGCTCAGGGATAGCATGGCTGGAAAGAATGGCACCAGCACCCCTGGAGATCCTCCTCTCATGGAAACAGTGGGATTGGGGATCATGGGCTTTGACCAGCTACAAAACAAGGTCAGT